TGGGAGGGAAGGACACAGGGAAGAGGTTAACTACAGGGAGGAAGTGGGAAGAGGGCTATTACATTGTGGGGAATTGCAGTCAATGTCATGAAACGAAATGTGTATGAAAATGTATGGAAAATGAATTTGTTCTGTAAACTTTTGCAGAAATGACAATAAAAATTTAAATAAATAAATATGTGACCTCAGATTTAGCAATACAACATGTAAATGACTACACTATCTGACTCCTTTTTCTTCTCCAAACTCATCTTTAGGATTCCCTTCCCTTTTGCCTCATCTAACAGACTTCCCCTGTCTCTCAATGCACATTGACACAACTGCCCTTCTACTGGGAATGGCTTTAGATGCGGCTTTCTTATGCTTGGCCCAGCTCCAATTGCTATGCCTCTGGCCCTTGAACATTAATAGCTTTGCATCCATGGCTAATTAAATCTAAAAGTCACATGGCTGAAATGGACATCAAAGGTCACCTAATCCAGACCCCTTCCCTCAGGCACACTTATACTCAAAGACTATTAATGTTAACCATGCATAGAAACAAAACAAAACAAAACAAAAAAATCAGCTAAGAACCTTAGCAAATGTCTCCCTTCCATTCAAACTAGTCTTTCAATACAAACTATGTCAACAAGAGTGAAGTAAAGAGCATCTCTCTCAGAATCCTTAAAGCAGTTCTAGAACTAACTAAAATACCAAGAAACTCTAGAAATAACTCACCTAGAGTGAAATATGACAAATAAATAAAAATGTTCCTTCTGATTGACTAATCATATTTAAAGAGTTGAGCCTATGATTCCTTACAGCAGAGATTGCAAACAGACGGCCTGCAGGCCACACACCGCCACAGACATGCTATTGGGAATATACAGTGTTCCAGTTTGCTTTCATTTTTAGACTGAATTAGTTGTCACCATTAAAAATGGAGACATTCCTGGCTTCTCTTGATAGAGGGATGATCTGGCAACACTTCACAGATGTACCTACATGGAAAACAATTAGCCAGTGCTGAGAGACGGTCTCCCGGGCAGTTAGGTCCACTTCCTCCAGGTCACTCAAGTCCCTACTCAGCCTGCTTCCTGCAGACCCTTGATTTGGGGACTCCATATCATATAGCCTTACACTGTATTTATGACCCTGTAAAATAAAAATATTTTCTCACTACAGACAAATTATCTGTATACACACACACACACACACACACAATATCAAATAAATGTCTAACTTGCTAATGGATCACTCTACCATCAGCTCCAATGTAATTCCAGTTTCTGTCTTTAGGTTACTTCCTTTCCGCTTCTTATTATATAACTGATACCCCCTATTCTGCTTCCCTCAAAAATGACCCAATATGTTGTAGTACCTCTTCATCTTTATGCATGATCTCTCTTGCCTCACACCCAGATGGCATCATCTAACCATGAACTTCCCAAGATGAAGTACACAATTCTAGTTCCCAAGATTCTAATTAGCCCAAATTTAAATCCTTATTTCAAAATCTACTGTTCCCTCCACTCCCTCAACATTATTAAAACCTCTTTTCTTGGTCAATAGACTACAGCTATTTTAAGCTGCTAAAACACTGAGCTGAAATTTTCCACCTGCAATGGAAATGTATACATTTTATAGCAATAATATATTTACTAAAATGAACAAGGCAAATTTTGAAAAGTTCATTGACCCTTCTGCTGCATTTGAGAAGTATATGGTCCCCAGAAGATGCAACCAAGTAACAACTTTCAGACTAAATTCAGGGTCTAGGCCAAAAGAGAAAATCCGTACAGTGGGGAAATAAAGTAGTTAAGGGCAAAATACATAAATTATTGGTCATAATATTTCACACCAACACTTGTCTGCCAGTTTGTCATACTGTGGTGTCTTGGGTGTTGTTGTGAGGCTGGAAGCTATGCCACCAGTATTTCAAATACCAGCAGGGTCACCTATGGTGGACAGGTCTCAGTGGAGCTTCCAGACTAAGATAGATTGGGAAGAAGAGGAGGGCCACCCACTTCTGAAAAAAATTGCCACTGAAAACCTTATGAATACCAGTGAAACATTGTCTGATTAGAAAACTTTATGAATAGCACTGAAACATTTTCTGATATAATGCTGGAAGATGAGCCCCTCAGTTTGGAAGGTGCTCAAAATACAACTAAGGAAGAGCTGCCTTCACAAAGTAGAGCCAACCTTACAGACCGATGACATAAAGCTTCTGGGACCTTCATTTCGTGAAAAAGCATGAAACAAAACAGGAAGAAACTGCTAATATTCATTAATAATTGGAACGTGGAATGTACAGAGTATGAATCTAGGAAAACTAGAAGTTGTCAAAACTGAAATGGAATGCATAACAATCAACACTGAAATGGAATACTTAACAATCAGTATCCTACCCATTAGTGAGCTGAAATGGACTGATATTGGGCATTATGAAGCAGGCAATCATATGGTCTACTATGCTGGGAATGAAAAATTGAAGAGCTATGGCATCACATTCATTGTCAAAAAGAACATTTTAAGATCTATTCTGAAGTACAGTATTGTCAGTGATAGGATAATATCCACACACCTACCAGAAGACCAGTTAATACTACCATCAATCAAATTTACACACCAACCACTAAAACCAAAGATAAAGAAATTGAAGATTTTTACCAACGTTTACAGTCTGAAATTGACCAAACATGCAATTATGCTGTATTGATTACTGGTAATTGGAACATGAAAGCTAAAAACAAAGAAGTATCAGTAGTTGGAAAATATGGTGCTGGTGAAAGAAATGACACCACATGATAGAATTTTGCAAGACCAACAACTTACTCATTGCAAATACCTTTTTTCAACAACATAAATGGTGACTATACACATGGACCTCACCAGATGGAATACAAAGAAATCAAATTGACTATATCTGTGGAAAGAGGAAGGAACTCTGGTGGCACAGTGCATAAGGCATTTGACTGTCAACCTGAAGGTTGGCAGTTCAAACCCACCAGTCACTCCACAGAAGAAAGATGGGGCAATCCACTTCCATAAAGATTTACCACCTGAGAAACCCAATGTGGTCACAAGTCAGAATCGAATTGATTGCAGTGGGTCATTGAAAGAGGCAATGGAGAAGCTCAAAATCATGTCAAAATAAGGCCAAGAGCTGACTATGGAACAAATCATCCATTTCTCAAATCCAAATTCAAGCTGAAGCTGAAGAAAATTGAAACAAGTCCATGAGAGCCAAAATATGCCCTTCACTATATCCCACATGAATTTAGACACCATCTGAAGAATAGATTTGACATACTGAACACCAATGAGTGAAGACATGACGAGTTGTAGGATGACATGAATATATCATACATGCAGAAAGCAAAAGGTCATTAAAAAGACAAGAAAGGAAGAAAATGCCAAAACAGATGTCAGAACAGACCTTGACACTTGCTCTTGAATAGAGAGTAGCTAAAGTGAATAGAAGAAATGATGAAATAAAAGAGCTGAACAGAAGATTTCAAAGGGCAGCTCAGGAAAACACAGTAAAATATTATAACAGAATGTGCAAAGACCTAGAGTTAGAAAACCAAAAGGGAAGAGCATGCTCAGCATTTCTCAAGCTGAAAGAACTGAAGAAAAAATTCAAGCCTCAAGTTACGATATTGTAGGATTCTATGGACAAGAATATTGCATGATGCAGGAATCATCAAAAGAGGATGGAAGGAATACAGAGTCATAGTATCAAAAAGAATTGGCCAATGTTCAACCATTTCAGGAGGCAGCACATGATCAAGAACCAATGGTACTGAAGGAAGAAGTCCAAGTTGCATTGAAGGAATTGGCAAAAAACAAGGATCCAGGAATTGACAAAACACCCATTGAGATGTTTCAACAAATGGATGCAGCATTGAAAGTGCTTAATCATTTATGCTAAGAAATTTGGAAGACAGCCACCTGGCCAACTGACTTAAAGAGACTGATATTTGTGGCCATTCCAAAAATGGTGATTCAACAGGTGCAGAAATTATTCAACAATATCATTATCATACACAAGTAAAATTTTGCTGAAAATAACTTAAAAGTGCTTGTAGCAGTATATTGACCAGGAACTTCCAAAATTTCAAGCTGGATTCAGAAGAAGACATGGAACAAGGGATATCACTGCTGATGTCAGATGGATCTTGGCTGAAACCAAAGGATACCAGAAAGATGTTTTCCTGTGTTTTATGGACTATGCAAAGGCATTTGACTATGTGGATCATAAGAAATTATGGATAACATTGCAAAGAATGGGAATTCCAGAACATTCAATTTTGCTCACAAATAACTTGTACATAGACCAAGAAGCTGTCATTTGAACAGAACAAGGGGATGCTGCAAGGTTTAAAATGAGGAAGGGTGTGCATCAAGGTTATATCCTTTCACCATACTCATTCAATCTGTATGCTGAGTAAATAATCCTAGAAGTTGGACTATATGAAGAATGCAGCACCAGGATTGGAGAAAGACTCATTAACAATCTGTGATACACTGATACAAGCTTGCTTGCTGAAAATGAAGATGACTTGAAATACTTACTGATGAAGATTAAAGATTACAGCCTTCAATATGGATTACAAAAATCATCATAACTGGACCAATAAGCAACATCATCCTAAATGGAGAAAAAACTGAAGTTGTCAGGATTTCATTTTATATAGATCTACAATCAACACCCCTGGAAGCAGCAGTCAAGAAATCAAATGTCGTATTGCACTGGGCAAACCTGCTACCTCTCTAAGG